CCACACATACATATTCACACACACACACACATACAGACAAGCATATAAAATACACGAATTACAAAATTTCATTGATGACGGATGCCAAATAATTTGTTATTTTAAATACGGATGAGTTAGTCGCAAGTTTAAGCGCGCGCGTGTCTGCGTGCATGTGTTTGATTGTTTGTATTGTGTACGTGAGTGTATACATTTGTCTGTATGTGTGTGTGTGAATTAGTGTGTGTGTGTGCGTGAATGATTATTGAATCTATCTAGGAAAGTTGTACATGTTTGTAAGCAAATTTCCCTACGTATTTAAATGTGTTTGTGTGCGTGTGTGCATGCGTGTGTATTTGCGTATATTTTGTATGTAATCGTTATCATTTGTACGCACAGGTATGCCTGTAAGAGTTTAGCTGCTGCTCGTTATAAACAAACTTTATCACGAAATGTGCACTGCGTCGGTTGGTGGTGCGTATCGAATCGGCGAATGCTGTCAGGTTTTCTTCTTCTTCTTCCTGCTGTTGGGGCTGTTTGTTTTGTTCACTTCCACTCAAATTCACTCAAATTGTTCAACTATGTGCAACAAATTCACGCATACACACACACACACACACACATATATATAAACACAATTTATGTTAATTAATACGTAACCCTGGACAGTTGATCATACCCATCTGCATCTTCATTCATATGCATACATCACGCAAACAACGCACAGACACACACGCGCATATACACACAGACACACACACAGACACAGACATAAACTTCATACAGTTTATAGCAGCTACAAGCAGAAAACGACAAAATAAGCGCGTAATAATACATCCCAGAGGAAATCAGAAACTAGTTCGGGCGCGGAGGAATATTTACGCAAAACAATCGCAACAACTTGATGCCTATAATTCATTTCATTTTATGCATTAAGTTCATTGTACAATGCACATGCTTGCGTGTGCATGCCTGTTTGTAAGCTTATGCGTGTTTGCATGTGTTTGTAGGTTTGTGTGCAAGTGTGTTTGTATTTTTATGTTTGTATTTGTATGCATGTATGTGTGTACGTTTTTGTACAAATGTTTGTGTTAAGGTCATGGTCATCATCATCATCATTATCGTCATCATTATCATCATCATGTTTTCATCATCATCATCATATTATCATGTTGTTAGCGAGTTTTTCATCTGAACTGTTAAGAATTTTATCAGATAATATGATATTATCATCGTCGTCATCATACTACTACACTACTACTACTATTACTACTACTACTACTACTTTTACTACTACTACTACTACTACTACTACTACTACTACTACTACTACTACTATTACTACTGCTGTTACTATAAATAATAAAAAACATTTTTAGTTAAACCAGGAAAAAAAATTTATTTTCCTAAAATAATAAACCAAAAAGCAAAGAATTCGTACGTTAAATAAACAGATGAAATAATAAAATGTATAGAAAAAAATATAAAATAAATAAATTGACGTTACATCATTCACCATTCACACACACACACACACACACACACACACAAACAAACACAAACACACACACGAAGTATACACATACTAACACAAGCACACACACACACACACACATACATACATACATACACACACACACACACACACACATACATATATCTATATATATATATATATATATATATATATATATATATATATATAGTTGTTTAGTTTTTTGAAAAAGTGTTACTACTTTTATTATCATTAATAATATTATTTGTATTAATATAAATAATAATATTATTTATTATTATTGTTGTTGTTATTCGTGTTTACATAACGCTGTGTTATGAAATATTATATGTTATAGGTGATTGCTTATTGCATAAAAGAGAGGGAGTTAAAAACTTGAGGAAAAAATGCCTTGGATTTGAATTTAATTATTTTATTGTTCCTTTTCAAGCCTCTGATGAGCTTAGATTATGATGATGATGGTTATGATGATGATGGTTATGATGATGATGATGATGGTGAGGATGATAACGGTGACGATGGTGAAACAGTAGATGAAATTAGTAATAATAGATGTGATGACAACGACAATGAAGATTTAATTGATTATTCATTAGTTCATTCATTTATCCATTAATTCATTAATTTATTCATTAATTATTCATTCATTAATTCATTCATTAATTCATTAATTAATTCATTCATTCATTCAATTGTTCAATCACTCTATCAACCGACGAACCATTCAATCTAGCTAACCATCGAATTAAACTTTTAACTCTGTTAGTTTTCCTCTCCGTGATTGCTTCAAAATTATCACCATCATCATCGTCATCATCTTCTTCTTCATCTTCGTCATCATCCTCTCAGATAATAACGACAATCATTCGTTCATCTGTTTGTCGAATCCCATCCACCACTTAATAACCTATTTCCTTTATTCACACACACACACACACACATTCACACGTGCATACACACATACATACTCTTATTGAATTGCATATGTGTACTTTCAAACGTTCATTTATATATTCAAATAGGCGGGTATTATTTGTGATACACATTCACTTGAATACCATATTAAACAGAATATATTAAATATTTTATTAAAATAATTTTTATTATTACTTCAGGATTAAAATTATCAAGTCTTTGTAAGTGGTGACATTCTGCTATATCTATGCACGATGTTGACGTCATCAACAACATAAACAACAACAATATCACCCACCACCAACAACAAAAATAATGACCGCAAAAAGACGATAACACCACCCATAACAGTAAGATCATCGGTAGCATTTGATTTAACTTGCGGGTCACAACAACATTAAAAGACAACATCAACATACATCAACAGACAAACAACATAAGCAACAAAACATGCAAGTTAACAATCAACGACAACATCAACAAGCATACAAAAACCAGCGTTCACAAGCTTACAAGATTGTCTTACAAGCCGTGGCAAAAAATTGATAAATTTTATATCACCACTAAAAACACTGGAAGGTACATAACAACACTCACATACACACGCACTCATACACACACACGTAAGGTCAGCCAGCCTGTCTGTTGTTCTCTAGCTGGTTGACACTGGGCCAAGTTGTGTCTAACTTATGAATAAACATTTGGTCCCCTTCAACCAGTTATAGTCAACAAATACACATCTATCGCCCACATTATCATATTCATAAGCTCCTAATTAGCGTAATTTATTCATAAAAAGACTATCCACGCCACCTACATCGTATCCGTGAAGCTGACGACACACAGACTCAACGTAAATAGAAGCATTGGGAATTTTCAAAGCGATCTTTTGCACTGTTGTAATTTTATTTATTTAATTATATTATTATATATTATTTCATTATATTAATATTCATAAGTACCTCATTCGCACGATTTAATTGCAATTAATATTAATCACCCGCCCTCAGAAAGTATTCATAATAATCTCATTAGCATAATTTATTTCAAAATCATAGCCTTCTTTCATGGTCAGTTTGTGGCCTCACCTCATTAGCATAAATATACTGAAAATATTTTTTGTGAAAGCGTAGTAAATCTAAATGTCTAACAATTGGATATTGAATGGATAAATGTTTATTGATTTATTATTGAGAAGTTCAATGAATTTTGAAATTAATTGATTTCTTATTGGCTGAAAAAACGGTGTCAAACTTTTTTTAAATTGAAAAATTTTCGACTTTTCTCAATCGAAGATAATAAAAAATAACAAAATGTAAAGAGAAATATTGATGAACGATAAAATGACATTCACTAGACTCTCATTGTCATGTTTACCGTTATAACCAATCAATCCATCCACAAATCGATCAAAATCAATCATGTAATAATCAATCAATCAATAAGTTAAATCATCAACAAACTTACCCACCAACCAACTAACTAAACGGCTAATCAAATGATTAATAAATTTGTCATAACTTAACAAGATATCATTAAAAATTGTCGACGATGACAAAACTATGTGGAAACAAAACTCGCACACACACACACACACACACACACACACACACACACACACAAGTTAACTTCTTAATAACGCTTCAGAACTCCACCCTTATTGCCCTATTGTATTCCTCCAATTAGGATTATAACTGGAAAACAGATTGTAACATTATAGTTGCAAACCTCGAAATGTCTGCTTAAATACTTCTATAGTTCAATCCCCACGTTTAGCTCTGATTTAATAATTTAAGCATTTAAAAAAATACTTGAAAATAATCGCCAACAATAAATATTATAACTCCAAATAAGCCGTCCTAGTGAAAAAATTTAAAAATAGTACAAGTCAAAGAAAAATAAATAAAATTAATAAATAAAAAAAATAAATAATTTGTTAACAATAGATAATATACATTATGTGCGTACACACACATAGATGCATAAATTTGAAATAATAATCGTTTATATACATATATATAGATAGAAATTCTTTTTTTTCCATCTATCTTTTTCACACACACACACACACACACACACACACACACACACACACACACACACACACACACACACACACACACACACACACACACACATATTACACCATGTAAATACATCCATTATGAATGATGGATGATCAACTATAATAGCAAGAGTTGTTTTGTATAAGTGAAGATTACTGTTAAGAATACATATCAACCATAAAAACTCAAATGCGCATAGTACGTACATATTCAAATGTACAAAGCACGCACACACACATTTTTCACAACAGCACAAGAAACAATCGCATTATATAGGTATACAAATTTAAATATTAATATATATATATATTTATATAATTATTTATACACAGACGTATCTAAATGATAAACATTTAAAAGCAGTGTTTTCTTGAGAGTGACAGTTCATGGGCATTTCACAACATCGTCGTCGTCATCGTTATCAATGGTAGCAAGATCAATCAACGAGACGACTGCAACTTTGTCGCAGATAATTGACGAGGATGATGAGGACGACTTCTTGACATTTTGAAGACCACTTGCAGTGGTGCTGGTATTATTTTTGTTGTTGGTGATGTTGTTAGTGTTGTTGCTTATGTTGTTGGAGTTGTTATTGTAGTTGACGTTGTTGCTGGTGACCACGAATGACTTGATGTCATTAGGCAGTCTCGGGATGTCCACAGTACACCTCTTCAAATGAATTCTCCTGATGTGTCGAATCATGGGAACTCCTATCCTCACCATCTCCCTACAGAGCGGACAGCGATCTCGATCATTGGCATGAGCTTTACTGAAGTGTGACCTGACCAGTACCGTACTAGGAAACTTCTGTGTGCATCTCGTACATGGATATCTGTGCTTAGTTTCTCTATGACAATCGAGAGATTCAGCGGAAAAAAATTTGGTATTGCATGGCTCACATTTATACTTTTGTTTGTTACATCTGCTGATATTGTCAGCCAGTTGAGAGACAGAAAGTTTACATTTTTTAGCAGGCGGCTGTGTAACAGGAGTGTCTAATTTTACCATTCTTAACATCCCTTGCAAAAATTTCAAACTTGGAAATATATCACCGTGGTTGCCACACATGTGACTAGCAAAAGTATCAAAATTATCCAACTTTGAATAGCAAATGTAGCAGAACTTTAATATGAACATGTCAAGCAGTGTCTTGTTGTGAACTGTGGAGAGATGTTGTATGATGTTGCTCTTGAGGGAGTCGCATAATTTACAGTACTTGATCTCAACATTGTGGGCAAAGTGATGGTGCGTGTTGAGGCCTGCCTTCGTCCAGAATGCCTCAAAACAGATTCTGCAAACGAAACGTTTGCCCCACGTGAAGAAATTGATGTCGTAGATTTTGAGTTTGTGTATGGCATTGAAGTGGAGTAGCAAGCAATCAAGGTTTTCAATTTTCTCACTGCATATCTCACAAGATGGACCAGGTGTTGATGCAATAGATTTGTTGCTGCCCTTTTTAGGGTTGCTGACCTTGACGTTGTTCATAATGTTTTTGGTCAGTTGGTTGATTTTTTTTGAGTAGTTAACAGATCTCACAGCTGATTGATTAGAATTTAATTTAGAGTTAATTTGCATCTCTTTGAACATCTCTTTGACTGTTTTCTGTTTTGAATCAAATAACTTTTGATTGATGTTGGATGAAGGAGCGGAAAATGAAGAAGTTGAGGATGAAGGAAGAGTTTGAATGTTTGTAGTTGAAGTTAAGGAGAGTGGGAAGCCCTGCGCAGACTTCATCTTGCCAGCTGCACTGAAATTCATATGTGGAATTATTTTAATGGGGAAATGTACGTTCGAGTTATTAGTTGCAGAAGCAATTGCTATCTTCTTTTTCTTGATCAAATCCTGTATCTGAGCAAGTGTCAAGGGAGGCATTTGATTGACATTTAAGTTGCTAGCTGAGAATAAGCTACTTGCTTGCTGCTGTTGTTGTGGCTCTTGTTGTTGCTGCTGCCGCTGTTGATTGAGTTGTGAGATGAAACCAGGATTTTTAGTTGGCAGCAATTTAAGATTGTTAGAGTTATTGCTTATTGATATGTTCTTCAATGTCTTCACATTATGAATGGTGGGCTCCCTTCTAACCAGTGGCAAATCATATGGATCTGAAAACGTCATCAAATTACAATCAAGGTTAAATTTTTTCTGACATTGTTTCAGATGGGACAAGAGCTTTCTTGATTCCTTAGCATCAAACGGGCAGTAGTCACACATGAACGAGGACATTGGTTTGAGAAATTTACACTCTACGTCATGCACCGTTGTCATGTGCTCGCTGAACTTTGCTAGAAGTCTCGAACTGAACTTCATGCAGTAACAACAACGAGTCGTTTCAGATGAACTCAGCGTGACAGATCTTTTGTGATTCTCAAGAGAGCAGTTTGAAAATGTCTTGAACCCACAACCACATTTCAACTGTGGTATCTTATAAGGTGAAACTATCGCCCTGATTTACTTACAATTTTCTTTAAGTTTTTTAATCTTTAATTTTAAGAACATATCATCTGGGATATCAGTATTTTTGTAACCATTAGTGGAATAATGATGCTTGGTCTTGTACGCGTGCAACCTGGCCAAAATTAATCCAACATCGGAATGTTATGTTGCCAAAGGAGGTCATTTTATTTGAATTATCGAACCCTGTCAAGTTGCTCTCATTCACAGGAATGATGTTGCAGACCGGAGTATTTACCTTAATTGACTCAGCTAGGCTACCATTCATTCTCGGGCCATTTGGGTTTAAAAGTTTCAAATAGTGAGTGGTGTCGTTCCGTTTCTTGTCTGTGGCCAGCTTGCAGAGTAGCTGATCGCTAATGCTTTGTTGCTGTTTTCTCTGGGATTGTATTCTGTTTAAAATGTCCATGTATTGTGGACTGACTTTCTGGGCAGGAGCAAAAAATGTTTGTGCAGGTTGTCTACACTCTAAACTTTTAATAAAATTATTATAGCTTAATACTGTCGATGGGGAGTATATCTGGGTGGATGATTTCAGTGGATTTGCATCAATTACTTTTTCGATGTCTGGTTTGGAGTTTGCCATGTGAGGAATTGTATAAAGGGGGTATTTCACAAATGAATTGGTGGGTTTAATTACAATGGTTGTCGGCATAAAATTTGTTGTTTTTAAATAAGTTAGAGGAGAGAAGAGTGATGATGATGTTTGTTGTGGCATTTGGGAAGCGATGTTGTTGACCGTCGTATAACTATTATTGCTGGTTGTTATGAATGCTGGGTTGCTTAAATTAATATTTGACCTGACAGCATTTACTACCTCATCATATGCAAATTCTCTCGACTTAGCTGAATTATTATCATATGAGGTAGACTTTTTTACTTTTTTCTTAGTGATCACTTCAGTTATCTCACAGTCTAAAGAATCAGATGTGTTATTGAGTTTATCTTCCTGTTCATTTCTATTTCCAACTTTATCATTTGCCTCATCACTGGAATCAATCAACTCCTCACATTCCCCATCACCATTTGTATCTACGGTGATGCTGTCATTAAGAGACAAGTCCATCATTGTAAGGCCTGTATTTTCTTCCATAACTTTAAATTTATCAACACCATTCCTGCTGTTCTCACCATTGGTTGCAATTCGCTCCTTCAAATTACTCTCCCCAGCCTGTTCAACCATGCTCTTGAGAATGTCACAGACAGAATTAACATTGTTGGTGTTCAACTGTTCAAGCTCATTCATGGAATCTATGTAGGCCGACATTTTTTAATGAATGGTGGTTGAGACCTTTAATAGTTTAATTAATTTAATGAAAATGTAAAAAACCCAAATTTTTATGGAAAAAACATTGAAAATTTGATTTAATGTTTAGCAAAATTCACAATATTATATCTATAAAATCGCTAAAAAATTATAAAAGATCCCATTTTTACCTAACCTAACTGACTCTTCCAGCCGAGTTTGGTTTGTGGACAATTATTTATTTATCGTTCTCCGCTTTTTTGCTTTTTTGGTGGTTCTAAACTTTAAACGGATTATGCGCGCCACAGGCGAATCGCTAAATAACTAAATCAACCAAAATGGAGGTTTCAAACAAAAAATCGTTCAAACATGGAAATAAGGAAAACAAATAATTCATCTGAGAAAATTGAATTCTTGAAAAAAGAACTAATCTAAATAAATCTTGGACCAAAAACCATAAAGGCAGGAAAAACAACGAAACAAAAATTGAGGCAATTTTCAAACCTCAAATTTTCAACGAAAGTTGCAATAATTTGACGTTTTCGATAATGTAAGTAGTTAAATTTATTTCAATATATTTTTATTGATTTATAATTAAATTAAAAAAATTGTATTAGTCTCGTAATCTTCATAAAAGACGTTTTCTTCGGCTAATTCAAAATAACCTTTCAGCTTCAATTCTATACATGTGTGACATTTATGCGTTAAATATTATACAATCAAAAGGATATTTAATTTTTGTATGGGTATCAAACAAATCCTCACTCTTTAAAAACATTTTTTGATTTATCCACTAAAATTCTCATTGTACTCGGATAAGTACACTTATATAATTAAAACATACGCATGGTACTGTATTAAGTTCCTACACTGTACTATACAGTAAATACTATAAGTGGCGTTTCAAATACTGCTATATGCTTAATTTTCTTCATTTTGTATGGAAAATGTTATTTTACGTACATGCACTTATTAATAGTTTTAATAAATTTGTAGCTATTATTTGATTTTATTACACGTATAACCTAATTATAAATTTTAGTGAGACACATTATACAGGAAATCTTTCATTGTTAGTTAAGAACCAGAGCTAAACAATAGTGTGTGATGAAGTGATCTATTTAAAGTTTCTATTAAATTTTTTTCTTTTTTTTACCTGCTTTTTAATTATTTTAAACATTCATGTGCTCTGATCATGTTAATGCATTACTAAACATACTTATACAATACAATACAAATGCTCACACGAACACACACACACACACATACACATATATAAATAATATAATGTGGTTGTTATATATGTTGTCATATGAGTAACACTGTTGTGCAAGTAATGTGTACTTTCCATAACTTGATCGACATAAATTTGCGTCCTGATTGAAGATTTCATATAACCTGCGTATTTCCGATAAGAATAAACATCAAAAATTTGAAAATTTACTTGAAAAACGCAAAAAAACTTTTATATGCGGTTGTATTCATTTGCAATAAACACTTATGATTAAAAAACATCAATACTTGTATACATAGTGAAAAAACATTTGATTGAAAAGTACACAGAAGAGAATATTCCAGCAAATATTTATCCAGAAGATGAACAATAGCGTAAGCAATTTGTGGAAAGAGTGTGTGAGATGGCTGGTTAGGGTTCAACTAATTCCGCCGAACCATGCCCTGATGTCGTCAGACTCCCAACTGTCTGACTTTGCATACTTCCTGAGAGACGGTGTGGCCCTCTGTAACTTGCTCAACAAATTAAACCCCGGCTGTCTTGACTCCAGGAAGTTCTTTCCTAAATCTCACAATTCTCAGGTAATATTTTTGGCAAAAAAAGTTCGAACTTTTCTCTTTCTTTACTTCTCTATCAGTTTCAGTAGACATTTTCAATATTATTTAAATAAACATATTAACACAAATTAACGCTAATACTAATAAATGTTCTAATTTTTAAGTTTCTCTCCACGAAAAATGTTCAAGCATTTCTTGATACATGTTTGAACTGTTTTCGTGTTGCACCTTGTGACCTCTTTGAACCTGAAGGCGTCTTCAAAATGGAGAACATTGGGGAGGTGAGGTTTTCTGGAGATTTTGAAATTTGGGATAATAAATTATAATTAATTAATTAATTAGTTAATTAAATTAATTAATATATCAATTAATTACGATTGTTTCATTTTTCTCAAAAATTCTCACGAAGGTTCTATCTCTTCTGTCAGTTCTTTCCAAAAATTCAGAGAAAGACACAAACATCAAGTTCGACAGTTTGAATGAAATTCTAATGTTTATTTTTATTGTTAAAAACAATGTTAATGTAAATTCATCTAAAAGTAATAATAAATAAATAAAATTAATTATTAAAATGATAAACTTCAGTTAAATTAAAAAAAATTGTTTTCCTATCAGGTCATTTTCATTGAATAAGAGCGAATATATCACGTTCAATTGTATTGAAAGGTAGATTTAGAATTTAATTAATTAGATTTTAGCTGATAAATTTGTTTTATTTGATCTAATTTGAGTTTATTTTTAATAGCAGGGAAAGGATTTTACGTTAATATATCTTAAAATACGTTCAAGTAACAAATCAACTGACCAACAAACAAACAAACCATCTGACCAACCAACCAACCAGCCAACAAACCGACCAATCAACCAATCAACCAACCAATCAACTAACCAATCAACTAACCATTCAACTAACTAATCAACCAACCAATCAACTAACCAATCAGCAGTGAGAATAAGGAGCTCATGGACTATGAGACGACAGTACAGGACATATATTGGCAGTTCACTGATGTATCAAGGAAAAACTTACGGGCATGTCACATAGAAAATTATTTTAATTAATATTTTTATCATTAGTATTATCTATTTTGCTGAAACAACTTTTATGTATGTTGCTCTATATATATATATATATATATATATATATATATATGTGTGTGTGTGTGTGTGTGTGTGTGTGTGTGTACGCGTGTTTTTGTGCGTGTGCGTCCGGCTGTGTAATTTTTATTCAACCATTATACCATCCCAAAGGTGAAAGACCAAACCATTAGGAATACTAATAACCTCAACACAACTCGTACTAATAGCAGTTTCAACAACCTAAGAATTAGTAGTAGTAGTAATAATAATAGTTGTAGTAGTAGCGACATCAACTGCAGAGATAGTAGCAGCAGTAATACTAGTAGTAGTAGTAATAGTAGTAGTAGTGAAATTAGTGTTGGTAGTAATAGTAATAGTGCTCCGAAAAAGACGGCATTTGATTATTGCATTGAGGAGTTGATGAACACAGAAGAGACTTACATTAAGGTGCTTCAATCTATTAAAGAGGTATTTGGCCTGAAATTTTTTTCTGAATTTAATTTAAAATAAAATTAATATAATTATCTGGAAATTAATTTTTTGGAATAATGAACGGATGGATGAATGAATGAATGAGTGAATGAATAAATGAATTATTAAATAAATGAACAAATAAAAGAACAAATAAATAAATAATTAAAAATAATTATGCGACAGAAAGTCATAACAGTCTTGAAATGTATCATGCCTGCTGACTATGAGGAAAAAATATTTTTTGGAATCGTGGTGAGTGGAGTAAAACTAATTATTAAAAATACTACTACTGCTACTACTGCTGCTGCTACTACTACTGCTACTACTACTACTGCTACTACTGCTGCGGCTACTACTGCTGCAATTGTCACTTCTGCTACTACTTGTACTACTACTACTACTGTTGCTATTACTAATAATAATGACGTCATTTATAAAGCGTTATGGCGAGCCAAGTTCAAATAATAATTTTTTATTTTCTAAAATAAATTTCCATCAGAAATTATGCAATATTCACGAAAGATTTTATTGCGAGTTGAAGATAACGTTGAATGAAGATTGCGCCCTAGACATAGCAGACATTTTTATCAAATTCAAAGAAGATTTTCTCATCTATAGTGACTACTGCCGTAATCTGGGACCAGCCCTCAAGCTCCTGGCCAAGTTGGAAAATAGCGACACTAACTTTTTCAGGGCATTAAAAGTTATTTATAGCTATTACCGTTGTTTGTTTTTTGGTACAAGAGTTTGTTTTTTGTTGTAAAAACTTTAAAATGACAGTTAAGAAATAAGATTTATCATCAAAAACTTGAAAAAATCATTAATAACGAAAAAAATTATAAAATTGAAGAAATGCGAATCGGAAATGAAGGCAGATTTCGGTAATTTCATGCTGCAAGACTATCTCCACTTTCCTTTCCAACGAATACTCAAATACCCTTTAATCTTAAAAGTAATTATTTATTTTTTCATTTTTATATTTTATTCTTTGCAACTCTCTCTCTCTCTCTCCATTATTTATAATAATTATTATTATATATTACATATTTTAAGTTAGTAATAATAGAAATAATTATTATTGTTATTACAAATATTATTATAATTGTTATAAAATTTTACAAGAAATTAGTGAAACTCTCTCGCGAAAATAAGCAGAAAACATTGTCAGTCGCCATAAAGGAAATAGAGGTTTTAGCATTGTACTGTTCGCCATGTAGTAATTTTCAGTAAATTATTATAATGTATCGCAAGTATCATTGCTTACACCAGGGGTGGGCAAACTACGACCCAAGAGGCTATTTTATGCGGCCTGCGAGGACTTGTTCTTCAAAAAGAAGGTCGTCAGCCAGACTTTATGACCAAAAATGGAACCACAAATCTTAAATTCTCGAAAAAATTTGCTATATAAGTACATGTGCGGCCCTTCAAACGTGAAATAGTTCTCAATGCGGCCCTCACAGCAAAAAGTTAGCCCACTCCTGGCTTTCACTATCACAAATACTTAATTATGATGTCATATAATGACGTCATAACTTTTTATTAATAATTTTTTGTAGGATCTGACCTATTACATAAATTTCGTGATGGCTGATTACATTAACATGACTTCAATTGAGCCGATTCAAAACAGGTTTGATTGATTTGCTGGTTTGATTGGATTAATTGGTTTATTGAGAGATTAATTGGTTTGTTGATTTATTAATTAGTTAATTGATTGGAGCTTGCTTAGTTGGCTGGTTGGTGGGCCTGTTGGTTGGTTCGTTTTTGTAGCTTAATTGATTGATTGAATGATTGATTGATTGGTTTGTTCATTTGTTCCTTCATTCTTTAATTTATTCATTCTTTAATTTATTCATTCATTCATTCATTCCGTCCTTCATTCATTCATTCAGATTCAAATTTTCAACATCCATTTAACTTTTAAAATCTATAACACTTTTTATACAGCATCCAAAATCTACCAAAGGCAAGCGTTTAATTACAACAACAGTAACAACAACAACTATAACAACAACAACAAAAATAATAATAATAATGTTTATTTATTCATTATTATTTGTTATTATTTAAATAATGATAATAATATTATTATATGATAATTATTTTTCAACCAGATTCTAAACTTGAAAACGTGCGGTAGGAGAGTTATGGATGGCGTAGTTAAGTACAAAATCATCACCGATAGCTGCACTGAAAAACGGTGTTTAATTATAAAAAATATTTATAATACTTATAATAAAAATAATAATAACAATAATAATGATAAATGAATTACAACGGTAATAATAATTATAATTATAATTATTATTACCGTTGTTGTTGTTAATCCTATCAGGTATTTTTTCCTATTTGACAAGGTTCTCGTCATCTGCTTACTGAATGTTAGGGAAATATTTTTATTATCTTTTGTAATAGTAATAATAATAAATATGATAAAATATAAATAAACCTTCTATGGACAGCCGAAGAAGTCCGATATGCATAATTACGAAATGGATCTTTCGGTGGAGAAGATAGAATGTGGCCCGGACACGAAGGTGCGTTTCTAGGGGGGATAGTGTTGAGTGGGGTTTTTTTTAGAGTACCATTTATAAAATAATATTCAAATTATATCATCATTATGGTTGTTTCTATAATTGTTTTTTTTCGTGAATTTTATTGCAAATGTCGTTGTCTCGTGCTATTACTATTACTATTATTGTTATTGTTATTATTTCAGAACAAAAATGTATTTTACTTGACCATCACTGAACTGGGTGTGACCTTCACTGTGACCTGCAAGTCAAAGGTCATGGTCGATGAGTGGTTGAAAGCTTTTGAAAAAGCCAAGTTCGTTTATTGAGTGATCGAAAAAATATTTGAATGAATGAATGAGGGAATGAATAAAGGAATGATTGAACAGAGAGAATGTTCGGCCGCCTGGTTCTCGAACGAAAACACACAACTTCCAGATGGAGACATTTGCTGACAAAAAAATCTGTGATATCTGCAAGAAGCTGCTGCGGTTAGATTACATTGCAAATTATTTTAAAATAATTTCAATCAATCATTCTTTCTTTCGATCGTTCTTTCGTTCGTTCGTTCATTTGTTCATTAATTAATTAATTCATTAATTCATTCGTTCATTCATTTTCAACTTTCTTTTCTTAGGGGCGTGTTTTTCCAAGGGTACAAATGTTCAAGTACGTTAGCCCATGATCTTCTTACGTTCATTTATTCACTCATTTGTTCGTTCATTTTATTCATTTACTCATCAACTAACCAACCAACCAACTAACCAACCATTCAACCAACTAACCAACCAATCAACCAACCAACCAATCACAGAGACAGGTCTTGTAGTACACAAAGAGTGCATCCTTAAAATTCATTTGCTCGGTAAGTTAGCTAATTGATTGATTGATTAATTAATAATAATAATAATAATAATAATAATATTATTATTATTATTATAAATTACTTTTCTACTTATTATTATTTTTTCAACTTTTTTTTAGATAACCCCATCGCTACACCCGTGAGTTTGTTCATTTATTTTTTCATAGCATTAATTTTCATTTTGAATGAATAAATGAATGAAATGATAGATAATTGAATTAATGGATGGATTGATGGATGATTGATTGGTTGTTTGACTGATTAATTGATTGGTTGATTGATTAATTCTTTTGTTTGTTCATTCATTTAACCATTCATTCATTCATTCACTCATACATTTATTTATTTTTTCAAGACTGTCAGACCCATGAAATCATTCAGTCGTGAGGACCAATCAAAATTGTTGCTAGCAGGGTCTTTTGACGCTCCAGGCAACTATAACTATAGCCCACCCTGGTCCGTTGGTTGGATGACAAACAAAAAATGCGCGGCGCTATGGCGTAACAGACAAGCTGCATGCTACTCTTGTGGTGACCGCGTTCGAATGCCAAGTGATCCCAAGCTATCACATGCAGATGCACATGCGTCTGATACTTACGATTCAGGCTTATTTTTGCGCGCTTTTTGTTATTACCTCTGAAAATGGTTGAAAAGAATGTTAGCAATAATAATAATAATAAAAATAATAATAATAATAACAACAACAATAATAATAATAAAAGGTTTGTTGACTCGATGACGAGGGTGATGGCGAAAAAGGTTCTCAGTTTCTTCCCAAATGGAACCTTCCTAATTAGGCACAGCCAGGCAGGGGAAGATGAATATAGTCTTAATCTCAAGTTACTAGCTATGATGATGATGGTGATGGTTGTGACGATGATAATGATGATGATGAAAGTGATGGTGTTGATAATGATGAATTATGATTTAGCGAGAGTGATGATGATGATAACGGTGACGACGATGATGACGACGAGAATAATAATAATAATAATTTTTTATTTTTTTTCATTTGTATCTTGAAAGGTATGGAGATGAAGTTCAAAATTTGAAGATTTCAAACATCGGTGGTAGGTACGGTTTCGCACCGTCCAGAACGTTCGCAACCCTAAACGTATGAACATCTAACTAATCTTATTTATTTAATTACATGACTTATAGAACTGATTGGTTGATGATTGATTGATTGATCGATCGATCGATCGATTGATTGATTGATTGATTGATTGATTGATTGATTGATTGATTGATTGATTGATTGATTGATTGATTGATTGATTGATGATTGATTGTTTGATCGATTGATTGATTGATTGATTGGTTAATTTACTGAATGATCGAACGATGATTGATTGATTGATTGATAGATAGATAGATAGATAAATAGATAGATGATGATTGATTGATTGATTGATTGATTGATTGATTGATTGATTGATTGATTGATTGATTGATTGATTGATTGATTGATTGATTGATTGATTGATTGATTGATTGATTGATTGATTGATTGATTGATTGATTGATTGATTGATTGATTGATTGATTGATTGATTGATTGATTGATTGATTGATTGATTGATTGATTGATTGATTGATAAGTTAATAACTGTTCAATTAATTAATTAATAACTTAATTGATATATTTGAGTTTTAATTCATGATTTTTCTTTCTAGGAATTCGTCACGTATTACTCTGAAAACAGCTTGGAGTCCGTTTTCTCATTTATGAAGATTAAATTGAAACATCCTATTAAAAATATTGAACCAAAAGGCCAGTTTCATTCATTCTCTCACCTATCTTCTTGTCTGTCCGTTCATTCATTCATTCATTCAAAATCGCTCTCTTGATCAGAGACTGTTTGACTGGTGGTGATGCACCGGTTTATTTGAGTGAGCAATTGATGCTGGTTTCAAAGAGGTACATGGACGTAGTCAACTTATGTCGCCAGACCGTGGGGATTTGATCATTCCGATTCCGTCAATCCGTTCCTCAAATTTTGGACGACGGAGATTTTCTGAGGTGGAATATGGAACTCATCGCTTCCTGTGCAGTTAAAAGATGGTTCCATCACAAATCGACAGCTTTTCAAGAAAGCTTTAAAGCATCATTACTTCAACATTGTACATCATAGAAAGCGCTTCTGAGGTCTTTTCGAGAAAGGCGCTATACAAATTTTGATACCGATACTGATTCATTTAATCTTCTCTTCATTCATTTATTCATTCAGTCATTCATTCATCTACTTATTGATTCTTTCATTCATTCAATCAACCATTTGAGCGGTCATTCATGCATTCATTCAAAAGAGATCCCTGCCTATTTAAACGTGTTTTATAATTCTACAGGCATTGGATGCACGTGCATATCATTGTGTGACATTGAACGGCCGGGCAATGACGAATGGCTAACGTTACGCAAGTTGGATAGGTATTTCTACATTATTTCTACATTTTCATTCTTATTTTTAGAAATTGCTCTATATAAATGCATGTTGTTTGATTGATTGATCGATTGGTTTGTTGATTGGTCGATTGATTGGTTGGTTGGTCTATTCCTATCGGCTGACAGGATCGTTGTCATATCCCAACCAAACCCAGATGTATGGATTGGCTATTCAAATTGCCAAGTTTGTATTGTATTATTATTACCTTTTACTATACAAAATACACTAATTAATTTCTCGTAATATATATATTAACAACAGGAACATACATAATAAATAACAAACATCAAAGTTTATTTAACTTTAAATGTTCTTTCCGTCTCTAGATCGGGAAATTTGACATCAGCAAAGTAAAAAAAGAGCAAAGTAAAGAATAAATTCCATCATTGTTTTGCCGTGGAAAACTCAGGCGGGGAACTAGCTCAGATGGTAGAGCGCTCGCTTAGCATGCGAGAGGTACGGGGATCGATACCCCGGTTCTCCACAAAAAAAAATTCATTTTTTTATTTTTTTTTTCAAACACGCATATAAACATTATTAACCCATTTGTAGTATAATGTACGATAAATCTTTATACTGTATTTATTATTATTATTATTCGTATTATTATTATTATTGTTGTTGTTGATAAAATGTAAAATGCTGATTGGTTGTACTTTCAAGGAATTTTACAAAAGTCATTTAGAATGTCCCTAAAAACATGTTTTATTAGCCATAATAAATTATATTATAATTATACACACGCACACGCATACACACGCACATATAAAATGCAACATAAATATTAAAATTGATTCAATATAAAATATATATTTATTGTAAATAAATTATTTAATTATAAATTAATATTAAAATATATACCGTTAATTGAATATACATCAGTAATTGTGTGTGTGTTTGTGTGTGTGTGTGTGTGTGAAAACGTCTAATTATCGATCATACAATCGGTTTAATAATTGAATGATTGATAGATTGATTGACAGATTGATACATTGAATTAATGATTGATATACTGATATTACTAATTGATTGACAAATTGATTGATTGATGGATGGATAAATTACTAATATTCAAACTCATTACAGATGTAACAAAAAATTTTTCAAAATTTCAGAACCAATCTCTACTACTTCAATGATATAATAATCCAAATATTATTTCTCATTATTATTATTATTTATGATTTATATAGTGCCAATTATATAAAATATACTATACTCTCTCTGATTAGCGCTATCCCCAAAAAAGATCAAAAAAACGTTTGGATCATAAGTTTTCCTGCCAGTTCTTCCGGACATTACATGTTTGGCATGTTGTAGTGGAATTTGTCAAAATAGGCTGAGGCCTTCACTGGACGGATTATCTGGTAGTGGTTGTAGTTTTTGGTGGTTGTTAGTGGTTGTTAGTGGCAGTTGATCGCGAGGTTGTTTTTGCGGAATTCAACGATTTATAAACATGAAAATTTGACGAAAATGAATTAATTTTAAACTTAAACATAAATAAATAAAAGTAACATTTAATAAACATATTTAACGGAATTAATGAATGAACAAATTTTGAATGTGAAGTTAGTGACGCAACCTCATTGTCGACGTAGGAGTCGCAAGGGTAGCACCAGACGGAGAGATCTGCATAGCTGAGTGCCAGTGGATGGTTGCTTGCGTGGAAATGTTCCAACATGTGGCCGTTCACGAAACGAGAACAATAAACCTGTTTGTTCGTTCGTTCGTTCGTAGTTTTTAAAATTCAATTTGAGAATTAGTTAGATGATCAATCAAATTAACGAAACAAAATACCCCCTATCTACCTACCTGCAAGCAGGTTAGGCAGAGCCAGTTTTCAGTTTCGTCTTCACACAGAGTACAAGGCGACTTGGTGTTCAATTGCCTGGCTGGAAATTGGGTCGTGTTGTCTTTAATTAGGTCAAGATGTGGACACCAATCTAACGGCTGGACGGCAAATAACTCTAAATTCCCCTTAAAATAATCGGATCGTATTCAATGGGTTAAAGAAATCACATAAATTGAAATAAAGATAGTTAAAAAAATTGAAAATTATCTTTCCTCCCTTCCTTCGAGTGAATGATCGCCTGCCTACCTTTCCAGAGGACAGCGAGTCGAGAACGGAATGCAGTCCATCATCCACCAGGCTTATTTCATTTTCGCCTGAACAATGATGGAGAGAGGTGACGGAGGAAGATGGCGTAGGTGGAGGGGGAGGAGGAAGGGTGGATATCAAACTGGACAAGGAAGATGATGACTGCGATAAGAGTTGAGGTAGTGACAAAAGGAGGTGAGATTCCGACGGATGGGATGATGACGATGCCACAGCAAATATGGTGCCGGCTGACGGTGATGACAATGAAGCTGCTACAGGGACGGCCGAGAATGTGGAATTCGGGATTTGAATGGACGGCAGGGTGCTTGCCGATTCTGATTTCGAGGCGTTCAGAGGATCGTCGTTGTTGTTATCGCTGGAATACTTTACATCATCACTTGCCTTGCAGTCGATGACAACGTCGGTCACCAATCGAGATATTATCCGGTCCACGTCATCATCTTCCTTATTAGTGGCAGCCGCTTCTTCCTTTGCTGAAGCTTCCTCATCATCGCCCTCCTCCTCCTCCTCCTCATCATCTTCATCGTTAGTATTGCTATTGTTGTTATTGCCATTATGATCGGTTATCGTATTTCTTTTATTATCATCATCACCGCCATCTCCGCCGATGACTTTATCCTCATTAATATTCATGAGATTCGACTTGTCAAGGTACATGTTTTTATCATCGTAATTGACAACGACGTCATCACCAGTGACGTCATCCCTCTTGTATCTTGACTCCTCCCACTTCTTCCTCTGATTGATGATCCATTCCAGCGTTGAAATCTTACATGGCAAGTCGACTGCATGGTGGTGATGATGATGATGGTAATGATAATAATGATGAAGAAGATGATAATGGTGATAGGGGCAATGACGATGACGATGATGATAGTGATAATTAAATAAAATAAATGGACCGTCATAGGCCAATGATTTCCAGTAGCGCTTGTGTATGCAAATGACCTTCTTAATGTCTTCAACCGATCTGCGATTCAAATATATATATATATATATATATATATATATATATATATATATATATATATATATATATATGAATATTAATTAGGAATTAGGCCGATTAAACACACACACACACACACACACACACACACACACACCACACACAAAAGACAGACATACACAGACAAACACAAACCTTTGGTGAATGTGGTCAAGTTCTAACTGAGTAGGAGGGGTGCCCAGCATGACGGCCACACTGGCGCACACCCCTTGAGACAGGGAGTTTATATTGTAACCACCCTGAATAAAAATGGTACATTATGAACCAGCTGTGTATACAAGCAATACAGGATGGTAGAATTTTTAAAATGCCTAAAAACCGCGTTCAAACCCAAAGATATCATCTCCTAGCAAGTGTGTGTGCGTGTACGTGTGCGTGTGTGATTGCTGCTATTGATGCCTTTGAGAAATACTGAAGAAAGATTTAAAAAAAAAACAAAATTATTTTTGGACCTCCAGAACCAGAACAAGCCGGCCGGAAGCAAGTGACGTCAGCATGTGGGTCATCTGGGCAAAGCCCTCCGATGAAACACAACAACCACCCTGTTGATGATGTCAGTGGTGATGGTGAAGTGGTGATGATAATGGTAATGATGATGAAGATGATAACCAAGATGTTGCAGTGGTGATGACAATAATGATGAAGATGATAACCAAGATGTTGATGATGATGATGGTGGTGGTGATGATGTTGATGATGGTGATGACGACGACAATGATGATCTCACCAGAGGGTCTCCAAAAGCAGCATCATAGCCGGCAGAAACCAAAACCAGTTCCGGGGAGAACTTAATAATAATAATAATAATAATAATGAAAAAGTTTATTATTATTAATGTTAAGAATGATGATGATGATTATTATTTTATCATCACCACCACCACCATCATCATCATCATCATTACCTCATAGGCTACTGGCATGACGACCTGGTGAAAGGCAGCCATGTATTCTGCATCACCTTGCTTGCCCTACGGAAAAAAAGAAAAAAAAGAGTTGTAATCATCATCATCATCAGCATTTTATCATCGTCTAATCATCACTACGACCATTATCATTATCATTAGCATCCTGACTGTATCTTTAATTTCTCTCTCTCTCTCCCTTTCTCTCTCTCTCTCTCCCTCCCTTTCAACTTATCTCTTTCCTTAACTCACATGGCATAAACTTTTTCATCATCATGTCAGAATAACATCATCACATCATCATCATAATTTAGGGCAGAAAATCATCACCAGATCATCGTCACGTGTCTAACTTTGGACCATGGAATGTTAATATTGAAGCCCTCTCCCGCTGATTCCCCCACCCTTTCCGCCATGTTGTCCAGCCCGTTGGGGTAAAAACGCCCATCGTCTCGACGGTGAATGGAGATGAAGAGGACGCTTCAATGTGATTGGTTCGTTAACGTTGTTGGCCCGTTAAATTTGATTGGTCCGTTGAATTTGATTGGTTCGTTGAATTTTGTTAATGAAATGTGATTGGTTTGTAAAATTTTGTTCGTTGAATTTATTTGGCTGAGTAGTTAATTGAATGATTATATGACGGTTGACTGATTGAATAATTAACCAATTGACAATTGATTAAGAGATTCAATGAATGATGAAATGAATGATTGATTGATTGATAGCTTAGCTGAATTTCTGAAAGCAAAACTGACAGATAACAACCAACCATCCAACCAACCAACCAACCCTCCAACCAACCCTCCAACCAACCATCCAACCAACCAACCATCCATCCAACCAATCAACCAACCATCCATCCATCCATCCATCCATCCATCCATCCATCCATCCATCCAACCAACCATCCATCTATCCATCCAACCAACCATCCAACCAACCTGTCATCCTCGTAGAATGAATTCTGCGTTCCATTTCCGTGGTGGATATCCCAATCCAGTATCAATATCCTGCAAATAAAAAGAACAATAATAACAATAAAAAACAACAACAACGACAATAATAATAATAACAACGACACCTTTTCAAGTTGTACTTCTGCTTAACGTATCGGGCGGCGATGGCAATAGAGTTGAAGAAGCAGAACCCATTATATTGGTCCCTTTCTGCGTGGTGGCCCGGTGGCCTAGATAGTTAGGTGCGTGCATAATTAATTAGCTAATATAATTATTATAAATACACAGCGCGAATGAATTATGTTAATCGGTAGTAACTCATTAACATAACGCAGGCGATTTGAATATATTATAATGAGGTTGTGGGGGTATTAAAAGTAGCATAAAATCAGCAGCAACGACGAGAAAAATAATAATATTAAAAATTACAACAACAACAATAATAATAATAATAAAACTAACCTAATGATAGCGAATCCATTCCTACTCTGAAATTAGAGAAAGCCCATTATAAAAAAATATACACCCTCCCAAATACAACTGCCACTACTGCTACTGCTGCTGCTACTACTGCTCCTCCTACTACTGCTACTACTATTACTGCTACTACTACTACTACTACTACTACTACTACTACTACTACTACTACTACTACTACGACTACTACTACTACTAATACTACTACTAATACTTCTGCTACTACTACTAAAACTAATAATAATAGTGATAATACTGTTTCTATTACTACTACTGCTGCTACTACTGCTACTACTACTGCCACTAATACTACTACTAACACTTCCGGTGGCGACGTCATCGACGACGTTTAGGAGGCAGCCGACAGCGGTCAGCGCACAATCGTACGTGTGCTGGTGGGTGGATGAGAAAATTTAATGAAATGAAATTTAAATTAGTAATTAACTAATTGGGCTAGATGTTTTAATTGTCGCCACTATCACAACCATCATCATCGTCGTCGTCATCATCATCACCATCACAGCCATCATAATCGGGACCGACCTGGTTGAGATAGACAGACCGTAAGGAGAACTCGAAAGACGAGTTGAGCTTATCCAGTTTTTCAAAATCCATACTGCAGAGGTAAGCCAGTTTTTCCATGTACTTCCCACTGCACGATGATGTTGATGATGATGATGGTGGTGGTAAGTATGATGATGATAACGATGACGACGACGACGATGAAGATGATATAGACTGTACTACGGCGAAAACGATGATAAAATGACTATGACTTACATAACAATATACATGTATATCATAACCACCACCATCATCGTCGTCGTCGTCATCATCTTATTTACCATCTTACTCATCATCATCATTTTACCCGCCATCATCATCATCACCATCTTTCTCGTCATCATCATCATCATCATCATCATCACCATCATCATCATAACTTACTCATGATTAAGGCATATTTCTTCGGTTGTCGCTTTCCTGGGCTGTCAAATGTTTATAACGATGACGATGATGATGATAATGATAATGATGACGGCGATGATAATACTGATGATAAAAATGATCATCATCATCCCAACAACATTGTCACAATCATCATCATCATCAACAACGTCTGATAATAACAGCATCATATCA